CCGTCGGGTAGAAGTAAGGAATCTTTGTCGAGTACTTCTGCCTTGATCGTGTTATTTAACGTTGTGTTGCTTGGATGTCCCAGTCTTTCGTGCCACAGTGATTCGCTCGCACGATGTTTGGGTGAGCGCCTGTACAGGTCGGAGTTGGAGTAAAAACCAGCGGTGAAGTTGGCGCTTCTGTGAACTTCGCGTTGAGTGGGATTTAACTGCTGCGCAGGAGTCAGTGGAGTGTCGTTGATGAGAGTTTGTGCCGTCAAAGAGCCCGCGATTGGTGCCGTAGGTGTTGCTGCTGTTACTGATGTTTTCTCTGCTGCTGTCGATGTTGTTTCTTCTTGCCGGATTGTTGCTAATGCCCTTGTCCTTTCTGCTTCAGGTATGGTATGTGAATACCAAAATCCTCCAGGACTGAATTCAGGGTCGAGATCGGGTGGATGTGTCCAAGAAGTGAAGTTGACGATGGCGTCGCTATCGGCGGTTCCTTGGTCCATAACGAAATCAAGAACGAAGACGTTATTCTTCAAGACTGCCTTGCCAATGTAGAGTCCGCCCTTTCCGTGGAATAACTTGAACTCCTGAGTGGTGCTGTCTGCTTCGAGATGAATGCCCTTCGCCATCAGTTGAATGACGCTGAGTAAGTTGTAGCGGAGTCCTTCTGCAATCAAAACTTCTGACATTTGTAGAATGATGTTAGTTTCTAGAGACTGAAGTTGAACAATTCCTTGTGGTCATGTGTGCAGGTTCTGGTTGTTGGCGACGGTGATTATAACTTCGCGCTGAAGTTGATGTTCCTATTGAACGAAACGACTCGAGGAGCACATGTGCTGTCCGCAGCAACTGTCCAAGAACCAAGTGTCTTTCCCGGACGGCTCGCTCTGTGCAATGGCTGCATACGTCAGGTTAGGCTCCAGTGATTCGCGACGAGGAGTGCGCTCGTCGAGTTGTGCTTCTGGTGAGTAAAACGGTGGTGATCCGGTGATGCAGGAGTCTGTCGTTCTTGTCATACAGCTTACGATGTTTCTTGTGCCTTGCACAGATGTTGTTGTTGATGACGGTGAAGACTGTACTTGATTGGTGGGATGCGCCTGCATAGAAGTTACTTGACTGCTTGAGGCTCGAAGTTGACGTTGCGGTGACGTCGATCGCTGCTGATTCGGGCAGTGTGTGCGCGGATGTCCGGACATCTTGCAAATGTGACAGAACGGTGGGACGAATTGTTGAATCTGACGGTTGTTTTGTCGATTGTTGTTGTTGTTGTAGCGTCGTTGAGTGTGAAACGCGAATTCCGGTGCTGACGCTTTCTTCTTGTGTCATTCTTCGTGCAGGTCCATATCCTGCTGTTCAGCATGAATTTCGGCACAGAGTGCTGCTTCGGAGATCTTCCCGTGAGCTCGGAGGAGTGCTCGAGTGGAGCACCAATGAGGACCGAGGCCAGCAATGATGACTGTTACAAAGGCTTCTTCGGATATTGATCCTCCGCATCGGAGGAGTCTGTCGCGCAATCCACGACAACGGCTGATATACGCCATTCCCTTCTCGCCGGGTTTCATTTCCACTGTTGTCAGCTGTGCCATGAGACGAATTTGGTTGACACTGTCTGTTGCTTAATACAGGTTCTTCAGATGATCGTACGCCAGCTCGGCTGAGTAGCCGTATCCTCGATAGGACCGAATGTTCTGCTGCTCGTTTAGCGTTATGTTTCGAAGAAGTATCGTGTACGCCATCAGCGGCTGATATGTATACTGTTGCTTGTCGTATTGTGTCCCATGCGTTGGGTATGGCAGGGACCCGTCGAAGAATCCAAGAATTTGCGCGCCCTCCATCATCAGCTCGAATTCGAATGACCAGGTATAGAAGTCCTTTCCATCGAAAGGTGTTGATGTCTGCAGTTTTAACACATGTGCGAATTGTGATTGAACTTGACGTGCATCCAATGTCTTCTCTTGTCCAGGTGAAGGTTGTGGGTGTGGCGTGAAGCTGATGGAGCCACGTTGAGGTTCGTACGAAGCAAAGGTAGGTTGTTGCTGATTTCCGCGCGCATAGGATGAACCGTCGAGGCTCATCGGAGTAGCTCTGTTGTTGTTGTCGCTGTTGTTTGATTGCGCAGGAGCTTGTTAGAATATGGAACGAATGAATGTAACAGAAAAGAGGGGTTTCACTAGCAAGCAGTTGAGTACATATAGCAAACCCTAAATTTGGGCTGTACTCACTATTGAGTACCCCACTGCAGGCTAGACAAATATAACATTCTGACACACCCCCATAGCCAAAGTGGGGTGTAATCAGCACAACAAGCAAAGCAAAACAAGCTCAGGGTGGATCACAAAGTCACCACACATTCTGAGCACAAGTACAAGAAGCAGCAGTTTATAGTTCAAAAATATAAGCAAAGCTAGAGGCAGTCACAGACGGTAAGAGAGGAGGAGGAGGGACTGTGAGAGGAGTGGAGATAGGAGACGACGGGTGAAGCTGCAGAAACACGGGCAACAGGAGCGGCGCGCACTGTGGCTACCGAAGATTGTAGCCTCCGGACTACTGGAGTAACTGGCTCTGCGGCTAACTCTGAGCGGCAGAAGCAACGGACCCACGGGCGACTGGCGCAGCAGGCTCGCTGGGCTACTGGAGATTGTAGCCTCCGGACTACTGGCGCTGCTGGCGACACGACGGCTGCCTCCGCCCAACCTCCCTCTAAATGTCTCACCCCCCCTTTCACACACCCCCTTCTGCACCTCTAACACTGCTCACACGCCACCCGCGTAGTACTACTCCGACAGCTCCCACACATCCACCCTCCTCAGCGGCAGCTGCAGCAGTGGGAGACGGAGTAGGAGGAGGAGTAGGGGAGGCCGCACACACAAGTCACCCCCATACTCGCCACCCCCAAGCCCTAACACAGGCAGCACGGGGTGGGAGCGGGACATCGGGGCCAAACGGGGGCTGCAGGGGCGGCTCGCGGGTGGCAGGAGCTGGTCGCGAGCTGCAGAAGGGGCAGCGCCGGCCCCCGAGAGCGCCACGACGGGCGACTGGGGTGGGGGCCGCGCTGGCCCCCGAGGGCGCCACGACGGGCGTCAGGAGGGGGCTGTGCGCTGGCCCCCGAGGGCGCCACGACGGGCGTCAGGAGGGGGCTGTGCACTGGCCCCCGAGGGCGACGCGCGGCCCCCCAGAGCTCCGCGACGGGTGACGGGGGGGGGACGACGCGTGGCCCCCCAGGGCGCCGCGACGGGCTATGGGGGGGCGACGTGCGGCCCCGCAGGTCGCCGCGACGAGCGACGGGGGGGGGGGGGGGGGGGGGTCGACGCGTGGCCCCCTAGGGCGCCGCGACGGGCGACGGGGGGGCGACGCGGAGGTCCCCGGGGGCGCAGAAAACCGCCACGCGCCCAGCAGGGCGGCGCGACGGGCAGAAAACCGCCGCGCGCGTGCCGCGCGCCATGAGCGCGCGGCAGGCAGGAAAACAGCGCACACCCGAGGCGCGCGATAGGCAGGACAGCAGCAGCAGCGGAAGCTAACGGTGGGCCCATGCACAGGATCGACCCGTGAGGGTCGACCTGCTCTGATTCCATGTTAGAATATGGAACGAATGAATGAAACAGAAAAGAGGGGTTTCACTAGCAAGCAGTTGAGTACATATAGCAAACCCTACATTTGGGCTGTACTCACTATTGAGTACCCCACTGCAGGCTAGACAAATATAACATTCTGACAGAGCTGCTTGCTTGTGTTGCTCGTCGAAGGACATGAAGGAGTAGAACTTCTCCATCATGTTTGGGTCGAAGCCTGCTGCTTGATTCCCGGGAGTTTCGGTTGACTCTGCAGCTGGTCTTGTTGCTGTGCCTTCCTCTGTCTGTAGGCCAGAGGCTGGAGGTGGAGTAGGAATAGTGCCGAGAGTCCCGTTGGAGGAGCTTTTCTCCTTCTGAGTTGCCATGTCTTGTGTTGTCGTAGGAGTTTTGGAAATCGATCTTGCCTTGTTTTGCTCTCATACCATGTTGGGCTGAGAAAATAGCCCTTAGGATCTTTCAAGGCTAAGACCTCTTGTAGTAAAGATGTTGTAGTTTGCGGAAGCGTAGTAAAATACTTGAACCACCTTGCACTGGTGTGTGAGAACAAGATAAGTTGATAATAGCAAAGACATACAAGGCTTTTACCGTATATGATTTCAAGGAATATGAAAAGTTTTACTTTAACTGTTTTCTGCTGTTGCGGTTCGATACAGTGACGACTCGGGTAACTGCTCAGTATCGAGTCAGTTATGTGTCCTTGCTGTCGCACTGTACTTTTTCGTCGAGTCAAAGGTCAGCGACCTTTGACCTTCGCGTAACCTCCAACGGTTGCTTTTGTTGACTCGTGTGTTGTTTCGCTGTAGTCTGCTCCGTTTTGTGTCGATACTTCGATACTTCAGAGGCGTTTAAGTTACTTGTTTCCAACAAGTGTCACCTATCTTGTCTTAGGTGGTCTACCTCCCTTCACCACCTTCCCCCTTCCTCGCAAATTTCTTTTACAACACACGTCAACCTGGTGTACCTGTCCCCAGCCTCACTTCCAATCCCGATGATAGCTCGGGCCTTTCATTTCACTATGATAGCTCAAACGCAATCTCAATGCTGGAGTATGGATAGCCCAAAGAAAACTTTTACATTGTTGTATGTTACAAGCTGGTCTTCATAAATATGCAAAGCGTATGGCCTACAGAGATAGCAAGCAGGTGCCACTCTACCTAGCGATAGATGTGCATATTCTGGCAAGAGTTTTGCGCCCATGTTGTCTAGTTGACTGCTGAAGGCAAAGCCCCAGAGCACTATACCATCCTGCACATCCATACATATTGATAACGAGCACAAGCAAAGGATGAAAGCCAAAGGCAGATAAAGAGGCACATTAAAGTTTCAACATGCTTTGATAAATGACAACCTTTCCCCCATATGTCCTTTGCCCCCATATCCCCTTTCATCCCCGCTCTCTGTCCCCACCCCCCTCCCCTCATCTCCCTCCCTCCCATTCTCACTCACCGGCAGAGGCTGGCCATGCGTTGTGCCGCCACCTGCTCCTGAAACGGTACAGGCCCCAACTGTATCTGCTGCGGGAGAAGTCTCGGCGCAACCACGCTGCGCACCCCCCCAAACACATGCGCAATCTTGGGCCGTAACAGCATCCGTGAGGACGCAGACGACGTGATGTTGATGTCCTTCAGCGTGATGCCACGGCAGGGAACCGTAGACGAGCAGTTGAGGTAGAGCCCTTCCGTGTAATCCGTGGTTCCGATTATCCTCGAGTAGGAGATGTTGGATATGGCCACGGCGTGCTGGGAAGATTCCTCGCAGTGGGACACGGAGTTTCGGTCGCAGTAATGCTGGTCGATGACTATAGGCCTCCGGACGTTCACCATGTACACGTTCCGGTAGCTCACGTTGGAGACGGAGCCCGATCCACCCTGGTAGGTCTTGATTCGGAGGCCGTTGGAGAGCGCCATTAGGACGACGTTCTTGATCACCACGTTCTGCACGCACGCTGTGCTCCCCATGTCGCCCAGGCTGCCGATGCTGGTGAGAGGGGGGGAGGGAGTGGGGGACGGTGAAGGGGGTGGAGGGAGGGATCAGAGGAGAGGAGTGGCGAAGAGGAAGAGGGGTGAGGAAGAGAGAAAGATAGACGCATAAGAACAGAGAAGAAAGGCTTGAGGAGAGCCAGGAGCAACTATTGATGAAAACGTATCAGTGGATCGGATTGGGCAGAGTGTATGTGACATACGAGTGCCACGCCATCTTACCTGATTCCGTGGCCTGCAATGCACCACGTGTCCTCCACACGCACGCTGTTAGACCCCGCTTCAATCACCACGTTGTCATCCCCTCCGTGCAGCGTGCACCTCTTTACGGTCACACCGCGACTGGCGGAGATATGGATGGAGTCCGTGTTGGGCGAGTTGGCGGGGCTCGTTGTAGTCACGTTGATCACAACGGCGCCTATCGTTCGCGAAATCTTGAGATGGATCGTGCCCGGGTTACTGGTAGACGGGAAAGTGATGCGGGATACAGCGGGGCGAGTAGAGTGAGGGGAAGAAGAGGGTGAAAATACAAATCCCGGTGGCTGGTCTTGGCCTGTTCAAAGCGGTTGTCTCTCTCTGGCTGCATCGACACACCGTTGCCACTCGTTCTGACGGAAAAAATGGTTGTTCTTACCGCAGCGTGATCCCCTGAATCACGGAGTTGTTGCATCGGTACACGGTCATGAGCATCGGACGGTCCACGTTCAGCTGCCCCGCCTCCCACATGCGCCACCAGTTCGCGCCGCGCCCGTCAATCGCGCCGCGCCCCGACACGATGAGCCACGGGATGGAGCTGAACGACACCACCGCAGCCCGCGTCGGCGCCACGAACGGACCTGTTGGGCCGAGAATCACGCCGTCGAGCTGCGGCGATGTGAGCGAGGGGGGTCGGGGAAGGAGGGAGTGGGTGGAAACGTTATGCAAGGTGAGACATGTGCAGGCTGTGAAGTTAGAAAACTGCCCGATCGTATACTGTACATAGTATGTGTGATCAGCATAGCGGGGGCAGCCATCGTACCTTGAAGACAAAGCGCGGGCCACACGGCCCTTCCATCTCCAGGTAGGTCACTGCGTACCACCCGTACGGTACCACCACTTCTGTCGCCACGTTCCGCGTGCGCCCGATCGAGCACGCTGCGGCGAACGCGGAGTCAAACGCGCGAGTGTCGTCCTTCACCCCGTTCCCCATCGCGCCGAAGCGCCGCACGTTGAACTGGAGGCGGGGCGGCACCGGCGGAAGCTTTATCAGATACTCCGCCCCGCGTCCAGGCCCCGACCAGACACCCCCCCCTGGCGGAACTGGGTACGGTATTGTCGGCTGGGGCGTTGGTATGGTGGGAGGCTTGGGCGAGGGGGACGGGATTGGCTTCGGGGACGGCGTGGGGGAGGGTCGCGGGAAGGGATTCGGGGTTGGGTTCGGTGACGGTTGCGCTTGCGGCGGGCTCCGCCTGATGGGTCCCGTCTTGAAGCGGTTCACGGGCTTGGTTGTAGCCCCGTCGGTTTGACTGTTTATGGTGGTTTGTCTGCCGTTGCTGTTGGGAAACATGCCGGATTGACGCGTGGATGAAAGGTGCGGGGAAGAGGATGAGGGGGAAGAGGAGGAAGAGGAGGAGGATGATGAGGATGACGAAGAGGAGTCCGAGGGCGATATGGAGGGAGTGAAGGTTGAAGTGGGGAAGAGAAACGAGTTGGGAGCGCTGGATGGGTCTTCAGAGGAAAATGCAGAACTGAGAAACTCTGCGAGGCAAGGGGGGAGGATTTGTGTGTGTGGAGGGGGGAAAGAGGGACGGAAGAGGGGATGAGGGGAAGGATAAAAAAATATTGTCAAGGACCTGGTTTGCAGGCACGAGAAGGGAGGGGGAAAGGTATCGAAGAAGATGAAGGGGAAAGAAGAGGTAAGCAGCCACCCCGGGTTCCCGAAACCCCGAGCAAGCGTGTAGTTGTGACATCTGCACGAAGTTGTTATTCGCTCATCAAAAGAGGGCAGGCGTGTGGACCTTCGAGCGCAGGTGCAGGCAAGCGCAGGCCGTACCTTGTGCGCGTGAAGCGGGGAAGCCGGAAAGGAGCGAGATGGCCAATAGAAGGCCGAAGAAAAGAGGGGCACGAGGTGCGTTAGCGGGATCCATGGATCGTGCTCGCGCTGGTGCTGATGAAGGGGCAACTGAAGGCATCGGGCTAGCGCGCTTCAAGCGAGGAGCTGGAAGGGTCTTCTAGCCGTTCGAGGGTAATACCGAGGCGCGTCAACAACACTGAGGCGTACTGGAAAGAGCTTCTGGCCGCGCGTGACTGCGTTCGTTGTTGATCGGTTCGCAGATGTGGGCGTCAGTTGATTGGTATCGTGAGCGACTATCGAGTACTCAGGGTACAGAGTTGACGACTTGATGCTCGGGGTGCAATGATCAGAATAGACCGGGAGGTCGTTGTCTGTACGACCAGATTACGACCTTACAACTTTAATCTGTATACGGGATCCACCTACAAGCCTTCCCAGATGTTGTGGGGCGGGGTGAACGTCTCTGCTCGTCGTTATCCTATCTGCTTTGGACTCTTGACAGTGTGCTTGTTCAGCAGCTGTGAAGTAACTAGTCAAGCACGCGATGCGGCGCAGCACAGTTCGAGAAATGCGATGGTGGTGGTGATCAACAGCAAGGACGGCAGCTGGTTCGGTTCGATGTATCTCGGTCGGGCGCGGGCGCCTTGTGCATGGGAATCGATGCGCAGCGAGAAAGGATCTGCGCGCATCACATCATATTCCTCCCCATGGAGGCATCCTTGCAAGTGCGTGGAGCAGTCGCTCGCTATTGCTCGTGAATTCTGTTTTGTGGCTGGGGGAAGGAGGAAATTTGGTAGAGCGTAGACAACTAGACGTTCAAACCATTGGAACCGCTGATGGCTCCCTACCTCGGCCGCCTTCACTCGGCTTGGCACCACCCCTCAACCTTGAATTTGACGGGAGAATGCTGATCCCACGCGCCACCACAGCGCTTTGGCAGGGAAATTGAGTACGTGGTGTGCAATCCGAATCGCGAAGGGGCTTGGAACCACATGCGGCTCGGAAGTAATGGTGCGATACGAATGTTCTATTATCAAAATTGGGAGTAACCGTAATAGGCACTTGTTTAGAGGAGTCATTTGTGCCATAATCGGATCCAGCGTGTGATACAGTACAGTTGCATCAAGCTTGCGCGCCACGAGCCGTACATGTCACAATCTGGGACGGTTCAACTGCTATTGCCAGCATTGCTTTCCATAAACTCCTGCCAGGTGGTAGTGAACAGCATTGTCTACAGTCTCAAAAATGTATTGTAACGTTTACTCATCAAGTGCTTCAGTACAAATGTTACCTTATAATTTTTCAGCATGTTTAGTGGAGCAGCAAAAATGGATAAACGTACAGGTGAAGTCGTGGAGAGGTGATTTGAAATCATTAAAAACAAAAACTCTGCATATCTTCTGACATCTTAAGTTTGTTGGAAACAACTGATCTAAGCGTCTCTGTCGTGTCGAAACACCAAGACAGAAGCGAAGCAGATCGTATCGAAACATCGGTGAGTCAACCCTCGGAGGTTGAACAACTGCTGGAGGTTACGCGAAAGTCAAAGGTCAGCGACCTTTGACCTGACAAATGCAGCGCGACAGCAAGGACAAACAACTGTCTCGATACTGAGCAGTTGCCCGAGTCGACACTGTATCGAACCGCAACAGCAATAGTAAAACGGTTATTAATCGTATCTCTTCATATTCCTTGTATTCTTATAAAAGCTTGTATCTCTTTGTTATTAATCAATCAACTTTGCCCTCACATACAAGCGCAAGGTGGTTCACAAGTCTTTACTTAAACGCTTCCGCTATTACATTGTCCTACCCTTGAATTCTGTCCTGCAAAGATCCTAAGGGCTTTTCAGCCCAACATGGTATGAGAGCGGTCAGGACAAATTCGACTACGATCAAGATATCTACAACATCACAAGACATGGCAACGCAAAAGGAGAGAAGCTCCTCTAACGGCTCTCCCGGTGCTACTCCTACTCCACCTCCTGCCTCTGGCCTACAGACAGAGGAGGGTACGGCAACAAGGCCAAGAGCAACATCTTCAGAAACTCCCGCAAATCAAGCTGCGGCCTTCGATCCAGATATGATGGAGAAGTTCTTCTCCTTCATGTCCTTCTACGAACAACACCAGCAAGGGGCACCTGCACAGTCAAACAACAGCAACAACAACGCAACACCGATGAGCCTCGACGGTTCATCCTACGCACGTGGAAATCAACAGCAACGGCCTACCTTTGCTCCGTACGAGCCCCAGCGTGTCTCCGTCAGCTTTATGCCACACCCGCAGCCCGCATCTGGACAAGAAAAGACATTGGACGCACTTCAAGTTCAGTCGCAGTTCGCGCATGTCTTTAAACTACAAACAACGAGGCCTTTCGACGGAAAGGACTTCTTTACCTGGTCATTCGAGTTCGAGCTAATGATGGAAGGCGCGCAGATCCTTGGCTTCTTCGACGGGTCCCTGCCATATCCAATACACGGCACACAATACGACAAGCATCAGTATACGTATCAGTCAATGATGGCGTACACAATCCTACTGAGAAATATCACTCCAAGTCAACAGCAGAACATACGGTCTTACCGGGGATACGGCAACTCTGCAGAGCTCGCGTACAACCACCTGAAGAACCTGTATCAAGCAACAGACAGCGTAAATCAAAGTCGGTTAATGGCGCAACTGACGACAGCCGAAATGAAACCAGGCGAAAAAGGGATGGCGTATATCAGCCGTTGTCGCGAATTGCGCGACAAACTCCTTCGATGCGGAGGGTCAATTTCAGAAGACACCTTCGTCACAGTCATCATCGGCGGCCTCGGTCCTCAGTGGCGCTCCACCCGCGCCATACTCCGAGCGCACGGAAAGATATCAGAAGCAGCACTCTGCGCCGAGATTCACGTTGAGCAGCAAGATATGGACCTGCAAGAAGAACGACATAAAAGGAAGACATCAGTACCCGAATTCGCATTCCACACTCAACGGTGCTACAACAACAACTATCAACATCAACCGAAAACAGTACCTCCATTCTGTCACCTTTGCAAGATGTCAGGGCATCCTCGCACACACTGCCCCAACCGGCAACAGTCAGTACCAACGCAGCGGCAGCTTCGGCCTTCAAGCAGTCAAGTTGCCTCAACGCAAGCGAATTCGACATCTCAAGAACAAGTCTCAACAACATCGACGGGACAACCTGCGCAAGGAACAAGAAACATCGTCAGTTGCATGACACGGCTGACCGACTCCTGCATCACAGAGACACCACCATATTACTCACCGGAAGAGCAACTCGACAACAGCACGTCTCGCCGCGAGTCACTTCAACCAAATCCGACCTATGCAGCCATCGCTCAAAACGAGCCGTCCGGAAAAGATACGTGGTTCTTGGACAGCTGCTGTGGACAGCATATCTGCTCTTCAGGACGTTTTGTTCAACGTGAACACCAACTTCAACGCGAGGTTGTCATCACCGTCGCCAATAATCAGAACCTGCGCACACGACGACAAGGCGTAGTACAACTTCAGTCACGAGAGACAAACGTCATACTGCAGATGTCAAAAGTTCTAATAGCAGAAGGGCTCGGTTACAACCTACTGAGCGTCAGTCAACTGATGGCGAAGGGCATCCACCTCGAAGCAAATAGTACCACCCAGGAGTTCAAATTATACCACGGAAAAGGTGGTCTCTACATCGGGAAGGCGGTCCTGAAAAACAACGTCTTCGTCCTCGACTTCGTCCCAGATCTTGGCACTGCTGACAGCGACGGGATCGTCACCTTCACCTCTTGGATACATCCACCGGATCTTGACCCCGACTTCAGTCCAGAAGGCTTCTGGTATTCGCACACCATCCCTGAAGCAGAACGAACAAGAGCATTAGCAACAGAAACAACATCGGCAGCAACAGAAACAACAGCGGCAGCAGCAGCAACATCGACACCAATCGCTGGTCCTTCAACTGCATCACCTCAAATCGACGACACTCCACCGACTCTTGCGCAGCAGCTTAACCCAACATCACGAGAAGTACATCGAAGTACCAACCTCACCGCAAGCTTCTACTCCAACTCCGACTTATATCGTCGCTCACCTGGACATCGCGCTAGCGAAGACATCTGGCACGCACGAATGGGACATCCAAGCAACACGGTGTTAAATAACACAATAAGAGCAGGAGTACTCGACAAAGATTCATTACTTCTAATCGATGGAACCGAACTTCGACGAGCTCGTGGAACGTGATTTACCTGCCCCGAAGCTGACTTACCACATCGCCCATTCACTTCTCACCACAACCCCAGCGCTCCAGCTTACGTACCACTTGAGAAAGTGTACAGCGACATCCTGTATAATCGCGAACCTGGACAAGGAGCATACAGCTACACCATCACGTTTATCGATGCCGCTACGCGTTACGTTTGGCACCTCAACCTTCCGAGCAAGGACATGGCTTTCGAAGCCTTCATCGCTTGGCTCCCAGTAGAAGAACGACAATCGGGCGTGAAGCTAAAAAGCTTCCAGTCAGACGGAGGAGGAGAATACACCTCACAGAGGTTCAAGCAGTTCTTGGCAGAAAGGGGAATCAAGAGACTCATCTCGCTTCCCTACGCCCATCAACAGCAAGGCGTGGCGGAACGGATGAATCGAACTCTCCAGAACACCATGCGCAAATTACTGCGTGGCATGCGACTGCCCAATCACCAATGGCCTGAAGCGATGGACCACGCTGTCATGCTGCACAACTTGCTTTCGTCGTCATCACTACCGAACAACGCATCACCGCACCTGCTGTGGACAGGAAAACAGGGCAGCACAAAAATGTTAAGGGTTTTCGGCTGCATGGTACAGTACCGACCCCCATCTGCACGAGCCGGCCGATTTTCCCAACGCGCACAGTGGGGACTACACCTGGGCATCGAAAGAAATTACAACGCGTGGAAGATTTTCGACGTCCACTCCAAAGAAACAGTAGCAGCACGTGACGTCCTTTTCTACGAACGACTCACCCTTCCGACATATCTTGCCAACCTGGAAGAAAATCGGGATCCCACAGGTGGCTTCCGTGGTGACGGA